TTTGCCTCTTACACTCGCGCAGCTTGTTGAAGTGGAACCCCCCTCCCTCAACTCCTCTCCCGTCCCTCGTTTTTTCCTTTTCTTTTCTTTTCGTTGTTGCAGCTTCTTGGAGTGGTTGGCGTGGTGGTGGTGATAGCCACGGCCATCCCCGCGCTGACGGTGGCCATGATCCCCGTCTTGGGGCTCTGCTACTACTACTCGAACCGCTACCTCCAGGTGAACACGCCGTACATACGAATGCAAAGCACCCCTGTGTGAAGCGCTCCTGTCTGACTCGACCGCCACCTCCGGGTGGACACACCGTACATAAGGAATGCAAGCACCCCTATTTGAAGCGTTCTTGCCTGACTCGGACTGCTACGTCCGGGTGGCCACACCACGCGTAGGGATTCCCCTATGTGAAGCACAAGAACTGACAATCGCACCAGGTACACGCGAAGTCGCACTCCATGTGCGAACGTTTCAAGTATTGTATGCACCATGTGGGATGACGAGAAATATGTCGCATCGAAAAATGAAATTGTTCCATATCGCTTTGCGATTTGGTAGTTTGGTTCGAGTTTCCCTTGTGTTGCGTTTGCGTGTGCACTGGTGTTCTCGTTGTTGTGCGTTGTAAGGAGCCACCTCTCCTGGTCCGTACGGTGTGGGTCTTCGTGTGCGTGGGGCGCCGTGAATGGTCTTAGATATCGTCGTGATACCCTTGCCTGCCGTGCCCACACGTTCTCAGCAGGCATCATCCGCGTGTGCGTGTCTATCCTGTCTCCCTCCGTCCTACATGCATTTTTTTTTTCTAAATCCAGACGTCTCGGCAGCTAAAGCGCCTCGAGGCAGTCACGCGGAGCCCCCTGTACGCGCACTTCGGCGAGAGCGTGAGCGGCGTGGCCACCATCCGCGCCTACGAGGTTCGTGAGCGAGCAGTTGCATCGTTGCCCCACCCCTCTTCGCGCGCTTTTATTTTTTGTACGAGAGCCTTTGAGCACGTCTGCCGAAGAGTAACCTTAAATCTACTCTTGGTGACATGCACTGCCAGCGGCTGTTTCTTCCCCTTTTGCGAGGTCTGCCGTGCGTACTCTCCCGGCCCCTCGTTTCCGCATGTCCACGTTATTCCATGGTCACAATCCATTTTTTGCATGGCAGTACGGGAGAGAATAACGCCTCTGTGATCTCGATACACATGCGTCTTTTCGGCGAATATGTATTGATTTTTCCAGCACACCTTCGTACTTGGTCTCTCTCACCCCCAACAAATCCACAGCAAACCGCACGTTTCCCACGATCCCCCCTCTTAAGCTCCGATTTCTTTCTTTTTTCTTTTTCTCCCAGGCGGAGAAGAGGTTTATCCAAGGAAACGAAGACCGCGTCAACAACCTCAACCGCGCCCACTTCTCCCTGTGGTGCTCGAACTACTGGCTCACCAACCGCGTCCGCATGATCGGGGCCGCCGTGTGCGCCCTGGTTGGCGGCTTCCTCGTGGGCTCGGTGAGTGCCTGAGGGTCCCTCGTGATGGGATTCTCCTCGGGGGGGGTACTCATGTATGCACATGCCGAAGTCGTTAGACCATAGACCTTACATCCCTACATTGCCGGGTTTTCGCCGGCCCAGGCTGCGTTTCACAAGGATGAAACCTGTTGGGGGGGTAACTCGCACCACCACCCCCCCGTCCGATGAGCTACTGTGCCCCCCGTACCCATGGGAGGCGTGTTTTTTTTTGCGTTTGAGGTTTGTCGGTGGCTTCTTGGTGTTATTCTTGGTGATACTCATGATGGAATGGTTTCGGGATAACTAATTGATGCCTTCACTTTATTAGAGCAGTTTTGTTGGCCACTGCGGCTGAGCAGCGGAAACTTTGGGCGCGGTGGCTATATATATTTTTTTTGGCGCTCAGCCCCGTTTGTGGGATGGGCTAGTTGCTTGTTTGCTGGGAATGCTTTTGGGGTGATGTGAGCCTGCTGCTACAGGGAAATTCCACGCCGAGGGCCATGTCCGCGAACCTGAGCTTTGTGAAGATGAAGGAAGAGATTGGTGTTTTCGTTTTCGTTGACCGTATGTACCTACATGTTCCGAGCTTTTCGTGTTAAAATCTTCCTCCATGCATAGGGTGGTTTCAGAGCAAGAGATTCTATTGGTTTTAGCATAAATTAACAGAGCTTGCACCCTCAGCTGTAACTCAGCGTTCACTTGCCAAGGGTAATAAATACTGGTACACGAAAATGTTGTTCCGTTCTGATATTTTTATGTTTCTGTCCGTGCTCGTGCGTCATTCTGCAAATATGTGCATGCTTGGCTCACACCTCGGCGCTGTTGTCTTCTTTTTTCGTGGTGCGGCCGGCTGACTTGCAGGTCTCAAGCGTCGACGGTTCCACCGCGGGCCTGGTGATAACCTACTCGCTCAACTTCACCCTCACCATCGTGTTCACTGTTAGGCTCCACGCGCAGATGGAGATGAGCGTCAACTCCATCGAGCGTCTGGACGAGTACTGCAAGGTTGGCTTTGGGGATTAATTGTTCACAACTTTGTTTTTGAATCGTCGGCTCGTTGCAAACCATCGGCAGTTTGGGCGGGAATTTGTTTCTCAAGTATTGGCTGGTGAACCAGGCACTAGAGCACTAAGATTGTCTCTCCGCTGGTTTTTGATCTGTCAACTCGTTGCGAACCGTCGGCAGTTTACGTTTGTCTTTCGTGAGTATTGGCTGGCTGATGAAACAGGCGGTAAGGCTTGTTTTCTCTGCTGCTGGCAGCTACTGCAGCCGGCTACTTGTGTCGAGTTCCTTCGTCTTGCGTCTTGGTCCCCCTCCCGCCAACTTACCGGTCAAGCATCCTTATTTAAAGAGTTGCGTCATGTCACAGAGTCGCCAACTCGCTTCGCTCGCTCATCACTCCATCAACATCCTCGCTTTGCTCTTCGCCCGCCTCCTCTAGGTCTACTCACCGCTCGATTGCTTAGTCTTCTATACCCCCCCCCCCCGGGCACGCGTTTTCCATCCTCGTTGTTTTACACGCGCGTGTGTGTATCTTGAGTAGTACTAGCGGTGGGTCTTTCTTTGCTCTCGGCAGGACACCCGACACAGCGAACAGGCACATACAGCAGCTCACACCGCGGGTACAGCAGCAAAGTGCACACATGTAGGATAGGTCTGTCTTTGACCCGCAGGAAACTCGTTCCCCAAGACCTTGTCCTTTGCGAGGTGCCATGAAAATTCTGTAGGCGGGTCGTTGATGCCGTGGGAGTGGAGTCTCCAGCAGCAGCTCCGGGAGAACCAATCAAATCGCCTTCCCGGCAACCCCGGTGGTGGAATCGCCAGCGACGATAGACTTCTTCGGGGGGAACTGAGCCGGAGCCGCCTGGGCCACCATCCTTGTCGTCTTGGCTTTTGGGTTGCTCATGTGCTGGCGAGATGGAGCAGATCCTCCAGCGGTCGCCCCGGCGTGTGTAGGGAAGCCCGGTAGTAATCGATCTCGCGCTAACCGGCTGACCAATGAACGCACGTCAGTTGTCCTATGAAATCACGTCAGTCTCAGTGCGTGTGTGTGTTTTGTGTGCATGTTAGCATCGACCGCGCAAAAAACAGCTGGCCAATGACAGTGCGGCATTCAGTCTCAGTGCGGTTGTGTCTGTAATTGTGTACCTATGTGTGTCCTGCAGCTGCCTCAAGAGGCCCCCGCCGTAATCCCGGACCGAAGACCGCCGTCCAACTGGCCGTCGGCGGGGGAAGTGGACATCAAGAACCTCACCCTCAAGGTGCGGTCAGCTCTCGTTGTTGGTGTCGTTGTTGCCGTTGTGGTTGTCGTTGTTTCGCATAGTGCCACTCTTGAGTTTTTTATTGCCGAAGGCTTGTTTCTTGTCCTTTCCGTGGGTAGCATAACCCCAACATCACTTACCATATTGTTTTTGTGTACATGGGCGTGTTGACTGTGCCCCTGTTGTTATGATCACGGCTTTAATATTGATGTCTTTTTGAGCCTGAAACTCCCGAACTCCCGGGTTTTCAAGTGTTGACGCGTTCTGTACATGGAGGGCCAATCTCAGGCAGAATCGGGGAATACGGACGACGGATTTGCTAGAGAGTTGAGCGTTGACGGCCGGGGGCACAAACACCTTCTCTTCGTATTCTTCCTGTCGCGCTTCCTGTGTGGGGTATTCTTCAACCGATCTTTGTGCATCGGCACTCGTACGGAGGGTTTGGTGGGCCGGTGTGTGCTCGCAATGCTGGTTCCTTTTTGCACTCGAATAGCACAGGGATGCTTGTGTTGGTGCCCGGCGTTGCTATTTTTTGTTTTGTTTCTTTCTCACCGAACAGTTGGAAGTATCGAAGTACTTCGTACTTGTATAGTTTCTCACTGTCACCCTCCCATCCCCCCCATCCTCGTGTGCATTCTTTCTGGAAACAAACGCCACAGTACGCGTCGTCCAACGAACCGGTGCTTCACGGCTTGACGTTCCACGTTCCCCCCCGCACTCGTGTGGGGATCGTCGGGCGCACTGGGGCTGGCAAGTCCTCTCTCATGAACGCCCTCTTCCGGTAAGAAGCCCCATTGGGAAGGAAGTGTGACCCACGGCGATTTTTCAGTTGTTCGCGTTGCCGCGCGTTGGCGATGCTGTAGATTGTGGCAGTGGCGAGAAAAGGTTGCCGTTCGGCTGCGCCCTGTAGTTTAGTATCGGCGTCGTCAACGGCGAACGCCACGGGCTGGGTTGCCTCCCTCAAAATCCACGTGCCACCTGTTGTTCACACACCCTTGCTATTTTGTTGGTCATTCGTGGGTTGATGGGCCGTCACAAGCCTGTTGCTTTCGACGGGTGAGCGATTCCATTACCCCGATGTAGCCGTGGAGCAGTGTGCACCCCCCTGACCGGAAAATTGATGACTTCTTCCTCGCCTATTGAAGAGTGGCGATACTGGCAACTTTGAAGCCGTAGCTTTGCGAGCGAATATTGTGCAGAGCTTCGGATATAGCTGCAGGCTTTCGGGGCGATGCCCAATACCAAGCCAGGTTGATTGAGACCCTCGCGTCCAGCTGTCGTGTGAAGCGCGCCGTCTGCTCTGACCGTCACCGCGCTCGCAACCGCAACCGGCGTTTTCACTCTGTTGTTGCCATTCTTCTTTTTGTTGTTCTTGTTCTTGTTCTTGTTCTTGTTCTTGTTCTTGTTCTCGTTCTCGTTCCTGTTCTTGGTCGTCTTCCTGTTCTGCTTCCTGTTCATGATTTGTTGTTATTGTTGCTGCCATTTCTGGTGTTGGTCTTGTCGCTGTCGTTGTCACTGCCTGCTGATGTAACCCCGGCAGGATGGTGGAGCCCATGCCCGGGTCATCCGTCGTCGTCGACGGCGAGGACGTGCTGCGGATGGGTCTCCAAGACCTGAGGAGGCGGTTAGCCATCATCCCGCAGGACCCGACCTTGTTCGAAGGCACCGTCAGGCGAGGACCATAACCTGTTGTTGTTGTCGTCCTCTTCGATTTTTTTGGCTGTGCCCTACGAAGGCTCTTGCTATAACCGGGAGGGAAAACCAGCGGCGTACAGCTTGCGCCGTGTGAACACTTTTTTCTTTTCCGGTTTGTGTGCCCCGGCGATACCCTCCCCTTTTTCATCAAGAATCCCAGATCGTTAACGTTTGGTTAATATCTAACATCTACAAGTATCTAACTCGTTTTTTGATAGCCTTGACGTCTCCCTCGACCACGTCTCCATCTGTGTCCATGATAGGTCGAACATCGACCCCTTCGACGACTACTCCGACTCGGATATTTGGGACGCCCTAGGTCGGTGCCGGCTCCACGACTTCGTGGCCGCGCAGGAGCTGAAGCTGCAGCACGCAGGTGACGTTGTCGTTGTCGTTGCCGTTGTCGTCGTCGTCGTCGTCTTCGTCTTCGTTGTTATGGCCTTCTCAGTGTGACCTTCTTCAGATGCGTGGAGTTCTCCAGTTTTTATCCGCCTGTTGTGGTTTGAGGGACGTCGACGCTGTGGTAGAGAGAGAGCGGCACGCACTCGATGGCGTTGAATGTCCGTTGTAGCACTAGTGGCTGGGATTGAAACCTACCGCGAGGAGCAGCTTTCATGGCCGGAAAAGTGCGGCCAGATCCCGTCCCCTGTGCGTGCAAACTCACGACAACGACGAACAACAGCTTTTTTTTTTACGTCGGACGTACCGGACACACTCTACAACTCCGACGAGGTGTTCGTTCACATCCTCTTCTTCTCGCCGGGGGGGGGGGGGGGGGGCCAAAAAAAAATGCCTATCGATCCCCCCCCCCAAACCCGGTTTTCCCAGGGTTTAAAGGGAAAACCCCGGCCCTTTTAGGGGGGGGGGGTTCCCCGCCCCCCAAAAACCGAGGGGGGGGCCCAAAATTTTTCCAAAAAAAACCCCTCCAGGAAAACCCCCCCCCATGAAGCCCCCCCCCCCCCCGGGAAAAAAAAGCCCCGCCTTCCCCCCCCACAAGGGCCTTAAAAAAAGAAAAACCCAGGGGGGGAACTCCCCAAATCAAAAAGCCCCCCCGGTTGGTTTTCCCCCCCCGTTGGTTCCCGGGAGGCCCCAGGGCCCCCCCCCCCCACCCCCCCCCCAAAAAGGGGGGACTCTCCCCTCCAT